ACTGTCCACTGAGCCAGAGGAAGTAGAAGGGTCACCAGAGTTCTCAGACAACCACACAGCCTCCAGCCAGGTGACTCTGAGATGGGAAGATGTGTACTGAATGCGTCTTCCATCCCACCCAGTGCTCAGAGTCTGACTTCTTTTCTGAATGTATATATTATCACTTTGAACTGTGCATTGGTGCTTTAATAGTAAATGTGTTAAGTTATGGTTACATCATCATATTCAGATATGTTGTGGAATATTATCTTGAGATGTGTTACATTTGTTTAATGATGCAAATAGGTGTTGCATTCTTTTATGTTGCATTTGTTTAACTCTGTGAAACTGTGTTAATTTGCCTGTTAAAACACCTGATTGGTCTAATAAAGAGCTGAATGGCCAATAGCAAGGCAGGAGAAAGGATAGGCGGGCTGGCAGGCAGAGAGAATAAATAGGAGAAATCTGGGAGAAAAAGGAGGAGCAAGAGGAATCAAGGAGAGGATGCTAGGGGCTGGCCACCTACTCAGCCAGCCAGCCAGCCAGCCAGTCATAGAGTAAGAGTGAAAGTAAGATATACAGAAATAGGAAAAGGAAATCAGGTGGTGGTGGCACATGGCTTTAATCCCAGCACTTGGGGGGCAGAGACAGTTGGATCTCCGTGAGTTTGAGGCCAGCCTAGTCTACAAGAGCGAGTTCCAGCACCAAAGGTACACAGAGAAACCCTGTCTTGAAAAACCACCACCACCACAAAAAAAAAAAAAAAAAAAAAAGGCCAGGCATTTATAAGTAAGAATAAGACTCTGTGGAAGCTGAGTTGTGGGCTCCCCAAAAGAGAGCCAAAGAGTAAAAAACAACAGATATGAATGAATTCAACTAGACCATTAGCCCATTGAGAAAAGACTGTGTCTATGTGGCAAGCATGCAAATCTTCATACATGTTGGCATATTGGCTGTTTTTATTTGTTTAGCTTTTTAAGAATTTGAGGTTTTCCAAGTGGAGCATGGTGGTATACACCTTTAATCTCAGGCTGAGGCAGGTAGATCTGAATTCCAGGCCAGCCAGGGCTGCACAGTGAGACACTCTTGAAAAATGCAAATGTATCAGGGCAGTGGTGGCGCACACCTTTAGTCCCAGCATTCGGATGTAGAGGCAGGTGGATCTCTGTGAGTTTGAGGCCAGCCTGGTCTACAAAGCAAATTCTGGGACAGCTGGGGCTACATAGAGAAACCCTGTCTCAAAAAATAAAACAAAGAAAAAACGAAAGAGTAATTTTTTTTGCTAAATTTGAGACAAATTTTTCCGCTCCTTTTAAGTATTATAAGTAACATATTTTGCCTCTTTATCAATTTGAAATTTTCCGGTATAATAATCAGAAGACAAAGTAAATTACTTGTGAAGCAAAAAAGTAAAGGAGTTATTGTAATAACAGCCCCTACGTACCGTGATGCACAGTTTGTTTTAACTGATTCTGCGTGTCCCCACGGCTGTGTAGATTTAACTTTCGCTGACATATTTGTTTCCTACTTCTGTGCCGGGGTTTGATACCTTCAGACTTCACAGCTTTTGCAAGCCTGGCTATTGAATTAATGTTCAGGCTCCATTTTGTCACATCACGTTAGCCATTTGCATTTCTCTTCACTATTCATGTACTTTGTAGTCTTTTCCTATTGAGTTGTTTGTCTTCGAGTTGTAGGGTCAGCTCGCATACTCTGCATCGCAGTCCTCTGCTGTATAGAGTACAGATATTTTGTCTCAGTCTCTTCTATTTTTCTGTTGTTTCAGCTTGCCTTTTAAACCCTGCAGTAATGAGTAGTGGGTCTTCCATTTCAGTCTAGTCCAGTACTTTTGGTGATGGTATATCTGGTACCTGTGTGCAGCCAAGATAGCGTTCTGAAATCTGTGGGGCCCTGTGGTGTCATCTGTCAGCACGGCAGGAAAATCATCACCAGCATCCATTGTCTTTGGTCCAGTAGACCCTGTCTGTTTTTGTTCTTTAGTTATCTTATAAATTATTTACAAAGCTAGGAATAGGAAAGTAATGAAGAATTAATTTGAAAATACAATAAATGGGGGCTGGAGCGGCGACTCATTGGTTATGAGTACTTGCTGCTCTTACAGAGGACCTGGGTTTAGTTCCCTGCATCCCCATCGTGGCTCACAGCTGCCTGTAACTCTAGTTCCGATGCCTTATTCGGGCCTGTTTGGGCACCAGACTTGCACACGATGCACATACATGGAGGGAAACACTTGTACGCATAAAAAATCTTTAAAAATGTGTAATACATGAAGTAACTTTTTCCACATTCTTTTGGTTATGGGTAAACACACACACACACACATAACATGTATACACATACATACTAGGTCTTTTATTGTGTTTTATTTCTTTTTTAAATTTTAGTTTATTTACTTCTTTTGATATCAGGGTATAATCATATTACTCTGTCTTGGATCTTGCTATGTAGACTGGACTGGACTTGAACTCACAGAACTCCTTCTGCCTCTGCCTCTCAAGTGCTGGAATAAAATGTGTGTGCTACCACACTTGGCCATACATTCTGAATTTTTATTCTACATTGTCCTTGTTGGGAACGCAGACATGTACATGCGTTACTCCTGAAATGGACGTGTCTGCTCATTAGCTGTTGTGCGTGAACCTGATGCATTCATTCTGAAAAGCTAATTGTGGGTTTTGGGTCTGTCACTAATAAAGTCTGGCTTAGCATTGCTCCTAGTTCTTCTTCTTCTTCTTCTTTTTTTTTAGTATCTAGAGTAGAGTAATCAATGATTTTCTTTTTCTGAGACAGGGTTTCTCTGTGTAGCCCTGACTGTAGATCACTCTGTAGGCCAGGCTGACTTCAAACTCACAGAGATCCTCCTGCCTCTGCCGTCTGAGTGCTGGCGTTAAAGGTGTGCACCTGACCACCATCTGGCTAGCCAATAATTTTCAAATGCCTTTGTCATCTGTGTTCCTCTGTCATTATTGTATACCTTCCCCCTGTGAACTATACCAAGTACAGCTTTACACACAGCATCATGGAAGGTGAAAGGATAGGGTGTGTCTTTATATTGTTTCAGGAATCATCTAAGGTCGTATTGCATGACAACATCTTTCCTGGTAAAGCCTAACTGGGCAGAGAGTACGCTGCTTCCTTTTTGTGCTAGGAATATATTGTTTACTGTTCAAATCTTTTTTTAAAAATCACATTTATTATGTATTTTGTGTTACTGAGAGGAAGAAACGCACGTGGGAAAGTCAGAGGAGAACTTTGAGTCTGTTCCCTTCTTCCACCATGTGGGTTCTGGGGATCAACCTCAGGTCACCAGGCTTGGCAGGAGGGGCTGGCCCAGCTCAGCAGTTCTTGAGTTTGAGGACATTCGTCTGGTCTGCTGTCACCCAAAGACCATAGAGTGAAGTTTGCTTCTGCTCTCAGTTTCATTGCCATTGGACATGTGCTGCAGACTTCACATCTCTGTGTCTGGTTTGTCTTGGAACTGTGGAGTGTCTTCCTGTGCCACTTTTCTTATGACCATTAGAGATGGAAAATTTTGAAGTCAGGATTCTGAACAGTGTTCAGTGGAGACCAAAAGCAGATAGAAATGCCTCCAGCGGTTCATTCTGTGCTGAAACCACATGAGCTGCTTCAGAAGGAAGACACCACAGCTGGCTCTGCAGACCCTGAGGTCACACCGAGGGCTCAAGTCCACTGGAGCGTGTATGACTGTGTCAATCTGGAACAGCCACTGACCTGAAGGAATTAGTCCTGGTGTTAGAGATCACCTTTTCTATGTGTTGTGAGCAAAAGGAGGAAATGAATGTCTTTTGTCTGGGACAGATGCATCCTCTTCCTGTTCATCTGCTCACAGGAGTCCTGCTTTATCTGCCCCCTCTCCTCTACACCTCTTTTCTCTATCCAAGCTGTTGACTGCCGAAGTGAAGTGCATTTCTGTTGAGCACAGGGCACTGCCAGCATCTCAGTTGGGAAGTCTCTCTAAGAGGGATGTTTGCCAAGTGCAATACCATTGTGTGTGCAGGCATCACAGGAGTCTGCCAAGCCCAGAGGTAGGCTGCCAGTGCAAATGCCACGTCGACATGACATTTACAAGTTTAGAGTCTGGAAAAGGACTGGCCACGGACACCTTCAGCTATCTTGTTTCCAGTATCAGTAACTGGGCCAGCTGGATTTTCAGACTGAAGAACTCAATCAGGAAGTGATACTTGATGTATTCGAAGGTGTCATTACCCTCTTCCAAGAAAGGAGAAATCCATAGGCTGCAAGATAAGCCATAATGGTTAAGCTTGTAGACTTGAGAATCAAGCATGGATGAGGTTCTTGAATGAGGTTCTTATCAGTTACTACAATGAACTTGAACAAGCTGCTTAATCTGCATGGTCCTGAGCAGGCTTCTGCTTCTGCTCTCTGTGAGACAGGAATGTCATTGTCATTGTCACCTTTCTCATAGATTTATCAGAATAAACAAATTTAAAACCAAATCGCTTACAGGCTTCAAAACCCCCTGGTAGATTATTTCTAGTTCTCAGACTTCAGTCATGAGAATTTCCCAGAACATACTGTGCCAGCATGAGCTTGTGTAGACCAGCCACTCAACTGAGGTACTGCTGCAGCACCGCACGGGGACCCAGGACACGATTTTCCTCGTCTCTCTAGGAAAAGTTAGAGCGGGAGCCAGAATTGTTTGAACATTTTGCATTTCTGTAATTGTTTAGGTGCAAAAATTACTTGGAACTTTGTATGCCCTAGAACTTTTGTATGTCGCGTTCAAATGCAAAATGCAGACCCATAGCTCTTAAAAGACTGTTTATTAGGGCAACATACTTTCTTGCGGCGGGGGCATGAGTAACAAGGTCAATTATCATGATCTGGTATCTGAATAGTAGATTTTTTCCGTATTTGTATAAAATATAATCATTGAGGTAACCTTGTTTTTGTTTTTTTTAACATTTTCCGAGCCGTTAGTAAAATGATGAAATTCCTACACCTCTTTTCTCTTCCAGGTCTTCAAAGCTTTTTCGGGCATTCTATGTCCCCTTCCTGTCGGATCAGTATACGGTGTATGTGAACTACACCATCCTTAAGCCTCGGAAAGCAAAGCAAAGCAGGAAGAAAAGTGGAGGTTAGCAACAGCCCCGTGGCTCCAGCGGACAGCCATCTTGTTAACTAGTAGTTCCACTGAGCTCTAACGCTCGTAATAAAGGTCACCTGACAAGAATGCCAGATTCCGGGTGCTCTGAACTCATCATGTCTGTGTCAGAGTCACACACTTCCTGCCCTGTTGTCTGTTCTGCATGTGAGCTTTCTGCAGATAGGCAGAGTCCCGAGAGCCTGGGGAGATACATTGCTACACTTGTCAATTGTTTTCTCTTTTCACTTATTTTCTAGAGTGGAGGAGAGCAGAAGCCGCTCACAGAAGAGCTGAGAGCCCTTGACTGGGTGTGTGTGCCAGCTGTTCTGCACACTCTGGCCTGGTGTCTGGGAACTAGCAAGTCTTCTTTAGGCTACCTGGTTTCTCCACCAAAGCTGTTTGGCAGCTCCTAGAGACCTTGTTCAAATCCGAGTGCTGAAAAGCACAGCCTAGTTGCCAAGTGACATGTCCTTTCACCTCCAGCAAGACGCATTCACAGGACTACAACCCTGGCCTGGGAGCTCAGGAAAAAAGGCGACCACTGAAGAACTGTGACCTAATCTTATTATTTATGATGCCTCTAATTTTCATTTTATTTTCTTTAAAATCAATAATAATCATATGGCTATTTGTGAAGGGTTTTAATATTTTAAAAAATGTTTCAGCATGATATATCTTGAATCCTAGACTCTGTACAACTATACCGGGCATCTTCGGAGAGAAGTATATCAGTAGAGTTGGGTGACATCATATCTTAAAGGAGCTTGAGACTATTTTGCGGACATTGAGGATTCCTTTGTGTAAAATGATGGCCCCGATGAAATGGAAAGGTCAGTGTGCATACATAGCACACACTTCAATTCTGCTGCAAGGTGTCCTTGAGCAGGCACGGTTAGTTAGTTGCACAGGCAGTTTTAAGGACTACTAAAGGCTGCCTGTTAGTTCCCCTTCCCTTTCAATACGGCACAATGTATAAGACATTTTCTCAGTGTCTCATTTGATCCTCAGCCACTGCAAGGACCCACTTCACAGAAGAGGAAGCAGATGAAGGTGGAGAGGAGAAGTGGCTTGTCCGTTGTCACATGTGTGGGCAGTAAGTCATAGGCCTGGGTGTCGAATCCAGGCTGTCTGACTTCTCATGGTCTTAGAACTGTCCATGCCTCTCCTCCACCTATGAAACACGACTTGGGAGGAGGAGTAGATTGACCACAGGCCACGTTTGTTTCGTCAGTTTCTGTTTTAAGGAAGATGTTTAGGTATAGTTCTTTGAGTCCTTTGGAGCCTGTGGGTGATACCTCGCTTAGCAGTGCTGTGTGGTATTGCCAGTCCTCGGTAGGAGGGTCCTGGCTCTATAACCCACAGGCCCTTCTACATACAGACTTGTTGTCCCCGTGGGCCACGTTACAGGTGCCTTATTTCCTTAAGGGTGACAGGCTCTAGCAGTGCGGAGGATAGATCTGATTTTCACCGTTTCCGTTCTCCTGTTTCCTTTTTTTTCTTTTTAAGGAAAGTAACTTTCTAATGTGAATTAGTCCCAATAAAAGAATAAAGAGGACAGAAAAACAAGTAGCTCAATGAAGATATTTACTCTTGGGGGCTCCCCTCTGAGAGAATACCAGTCGGAGCTGACGAAGCAGAGGTGGTGAGGCCGCAGGTGCAGACATGCAGAATGGCAGATGCACAGGAAGGACAGACTGCAGGCCTGCTGGGCGCATGTCCCTGGGATTCTGTTCTCAGCGCCTGATCGCCATTTTCCAAGGCAAACAGTGGGGTGTGATCCTAAGACCAGAACTGCAGTGAAGCCTATCTCAGAAGCCAAGGCCCTGTAGGATGCACAGAAGGGTCGATGACGCGGTTCAGTGAAGAGCAGCTCTCATCCAATCAAAGTGCGGGACTTAGTGTGGTTGAGTGGTAGAGCGCATGTTTACTGTGTGGAAGACCCAGGTTCAGTTCTTAACATCTGCAAACACCCCCCAAATTGGTACAGAGTTGAGCTATTTGATCATCTTGCCTGTCTGAAACAAACATAACGATCCTCCACAGGTGCCTGACATGAACCTAGGCCTCCACATACACATGTGCGTGCACTCACACGTGTACACACAGTCACCTCAGTGAGAACTTAGTTATAAAGTAGCCAATTATAAACTATAAAGGCCAGCGGATATAGAGATCTCTTGGGGTTGTCAGTTTCAGCCCCCTTTGAAAACCCCACTCTGGTTTTCTCCATTCTGTTTCTGGTGAGGGCACAGTGGTACCTCTTAACAGCATGGGGGTTGGTTAGCTTCCCCTGGGAAGAAGAAGGCCATCATGGGCAGTCTTACATCTCTGCCAAGCACCGCTGTGCACACACCTCTGCTCAGTCCTTAGAGTGAGGTACACGTGTAGATGTCGCTGCTGAGGATCGAGCTCCCACATGATCCATAATCTCCTTTGTGAGCAGAACAAGATAGCAGGGAGACTTGGCAAATCCAGACTTCTCTGATCTCTAGCTCAAAGCAGCCTTATCTGAACCTAAATCTTGGGACACTGAATGCCATTATTGACCCAGTCAGTGTGATAGGAATCTGTTAACAAAATCTGCCTCTTGCCTTTTCTTGTCATCTGATAAAAGCACAGGTTACCTTAATCTCTTTGGGTAAGTGCGGAGAGCTGCAGCCTGTACTTGTTACTGAGTCAGGCTTGCAGCAGACGTGGTTTTACAGCAGTCCCCTTTTCTTTAGGTCTGGAGTTCTGGGAACCCTCTCTTGTGTGTTCTGCTTCCTAGGACAGAGTGAATGGGAGGCCCCACGGCTGTGTAGCCTTCTAGCTAACACCAGACGTCTTGGCTCCTCACGTAGTTATTTTTGTTTACATCAAAGAGGCAAAGAGGCACTTAAATCTCTGCCTCCACCAATGCAGTAAAAACTGACATGGGCGTCTACTTTCAGGCTCCCACGTTGAATTCCTCAGTTAAAAGGATGCCAATGGCTTTGTAACAAGAAGCCCAAGGCTTCCATAAGGCACGGTTGGAGTTTAAGGGGCTCGCTGGAGTATCGTCAATCTGAAGGGTCCTTACAATTTTTCATGTAACCCTGTGATTCTTGAAGCCGATGAAACCAGGAAGCAGCCCAGTGCTGAAGCCCGTGTCATCCAGTTCACCGTCTCCCTGATCCGTGTGCTTTTTCCGTGTCAGTGTTTACATTGCATGCCTACTGTATTTCAGTGAAGGAAAAAGTCAATAAATGTTGGCAGTTTGATCCCCCGCCCCCTTGAGACAGGGTTTCTCTGTGTAGTGCTGTATGAACTTGGAACTCCCTCTGTAGCCCACTCAGACTCACCTGCCTCTGTCTCCCAAATACTAGGATTAAAGGTGTCACCCCCACCCCGAGCTTGATTCCCCTCCTTTTTTAATAAAAAAGATTTTATTTATTTTATATACAATATTCTGCCTGCAGGTAGACAGGCAGGCCAGCAGAGGGCACCAGATTTCATTACAGATGGTTGTGAGCCACCATATTGTTGCAGGAATTGAACTCAGGACCTCTGGAAGAACAGCCAATAGCCAGTGCTCTTAACCGCTGAGCCAACTCTCCAGCCTGATTCCCCCTTTCTTAAGGTCACTTTTTTCATTCGCAATCAGCTTCTAATCTCCACTGGGAATTGGAATTGGAAACAGCTCAACTTCTGTGTCCTCCATCCCCATGTCGCAGTTCATAGGTCAAAGAGTCCAGAATGGGATCCCTGAAAGTACCTTCCGGAATCACAGTGGTGGTTTCCTTCCTTCCAGGAGAAGCTAAGCACACAGGAATTTACCGCTGAGCATTGTGCTGCAGAGAATGTGCCACATGCCTAGCCTATCTTAGGGCTCAGGCTTCTGGAGTCCAGGAGTCTGGTTGGCACTGGCATCGTGACCCAGTTACAGCTGGCATTTGGGTAACTTCCCCCTCCGGGAGGTGCTGGATTTTGGGGGGTGGGCTTTCTCCATCCTTGTCTTCCCTTCCTCTTCTCATGCCGCCTTATCCCCTGACTTTGCAGAATTACTTTTCACTTTTCTTCCCACCTGACCCAGGTGTCCTTGAGATTTAGTTTGATTTATTTTTCCCACGTTGTTTTAGACGCAGTCATTAATTTAGTCCCAGGTGGGAAAAGGCCACTGGAGTCACTGTTCTGTCCTGTGTAGGACACCACCTTTGCTCTCTGTCCATGTGCTTCTCCATCTTCAGAACCTCACTTAAGAGTCCTCCGGGCTTCAGACCCCTGTGGCATCTTCCCTTTTCACCCTTTGTTAGGAGCAGACAACCCTAAGCAGAAACCTTGTAAACCCTCTGTTTCAGGAGTGATGGCTGGCACCGTGGGGGAGGCTCCATACTGTCTTATTTGGGGCCCAGCAGTCCCCCAGCGTTTTGCTCCCATGCATTTGACAATGAGGAAAGAAAAGTAAAAGACACCTTTTTACTAACAGATAGCTCTTGCTTTCAATTTGGCACACTTTTCATTTTTATTTTTTGAGGCATAGTTTCATACTGTAGCCTAGAGTGGTCTGTAACTCAGTACATCGCTCAGACTGGCCAGGAGTCACAGCAATCTTCCTGCCTCAACCTCCCATTGTTGATGCGTGAGTTACCGTGCCCAGCATCTTGGTCTGAATTCTTAGACACAGAAAACGCAGCAAGTCAGAAGTCTTGAGAACTCAGAAGGGCAGCTTATAAGTCAGCCTGTTAGTGTTTGTGTGGGGTTTAGCAGTTCTGAACTCCAGACTTTGGCACGAGAGCACATTCCTGAGGTTGCTTCTAAAAGGAGCAACAAGGCCCTGTATGGAATATTTACATTTCTCTATTCCCTGATTTTGGAGGGCCAGGCTTGGCACAGATTTTCTTCCGAATGAGTCTGGCTTAGAAGACTTTCTCATTGGTGTGATTAGGCGTTAGGTCCTTCTTGTCCCCTGTCCTTTGTAGAAGATGCTCAGCTGCAATCTGGATTTGTGGTCACACACCCAGATTGAATATTCAGTAGCAAATAATATTGTAAAGCTGAAAACGCCCCTGGATCTTCCCAGCTGTGGAATTCCGCCTAGACCTGACATTTTGAACAAGTTCAAATCAATGAAACCAATGAAACGAGGGAAATTGAGGTTAGGGAAGTCACGTGTGGCACTGTAGTGGTAAGGACAGTTGGATATTTCCTGTTGGAGCCTTGTAAACTAAATAGCTTGTTTGACTGGACAGTTTGAGTTTAAGTGAACATTTAAGTATGAACTATTTTTTTTTCTTGAAATTTAAGTGCATCTTGAAGCATCTTTAAAACACTTCAAGGTAAGTCAGGACTTTTTGTTTGCTTCTGTTTTTGTTTTTACTTTCTGGGTTTGTTCTGTAGTTTCTCACCTGGAGATAAAAAAGCATAAACTAGGTAACTTTTTGATGGGCCTTAAAAGCCAAAGTGAATGATTCAAGACCGATTCCCTCAGAGTAGGGCTTTTCAGGGACCGTCATGGATTGCAGGCAGCCTCTGCTGTAAGAAGGCTCTTTGATCTCCATTCGTAGGAACAGTTGGGCAACCGGCACCTTTGCCCTTCAGTCAGTCCCTTAAGCTTGCTAGTCAGCTGCATTGCCAAATACAGAAGGGCAGGGCCTCTCGGGTGCTTGGCTGGCTGTTGTAGAAACATTGCACTCAGTGCTGCAGAAATCATAACCAAGGGAGCTGCAGTTCTCAGCCAGAGCTGCAGGGTAGGAACATGGGGAGGCCTTCGAGCTGCCGCACTGCACAGTCCTCCATTGGAATAAAGAGCTAGTGGCTAGGGGGGAGCAGAGGCTTCATTGTGTTTAGAAAGCGTTCTAGTGCTAGCGTTACACACCACTGCCTTTGATAAAGACTAGGTAAGCTTCATGCCAGAGACCATTACTAACAAAGCAGACAGGATGCTATTATCCTTTTCTGATTGTAACCCCCAGTCTTCAGGCCTTTATTTGGGTCTCTCCCCTCTCTAGGCCCCAAGCCTTCCTTACCTGCTCTGTCTCCGATGCCCTCTGGAATCCTTACTGGAAAACTAGATAACTAGCCGGACACTGATAGATGCTGATGGATACTCGAGGGCTCCTGGAGTGTTCTAGTTAACACATCTAAAAAAAGAAAAAAAATACAATTACTCTTTTTTTGTTACCATATATGGATTTATTAGGTAGGAAAAGAAAGTTTGAGTAGGCAGTCTCAACTTTCATTGTAGGGCTTGACCCTGCTTGGCCTCATCAGGCAAGGACCCATGTCGAACAGGACAATGGGAGTAATAGTGTGTGCTTGTGATGAGCCCATCTTCTCAAGGCACACCCTGGGGCCAACTTTGCATGGTTAGTAAGACACACTTAGCTTAGCTGATTATGGTAACGCGTGACTTTAACTCTCAAGAGGCAGAGGCAGCGAATCTCTGAGTTCGAGCCAGCCTGGTCTACACAGAGAAATCCTCTGTGTGTGTGTATGTGTGTGTGTGTATGGCGGAGGGGGGCACACTTAGCTTTTCACTGGAGCGAGTGTGGTGAAGCCCCCACTCTGTTGTTTGCTACCGTTTGCTGACGGCCTCTTTGCAGCAGCTG